TTTTTTTTTTTTTTTTGGGGGGCGAGCATCATATATTTTCTTCTCCTCTTTCCCTTTTATATGTTTTTTCTTCGCGGAGAATGATAAAAAAATGGGCACTAAACCAGCCCCGTTCTCATCTTTGTTTAACGAGCTGAATTGTTAAAAATGGGCCCCGGTTGCGCCATAATTGTTATGCCTGCCATTCTTCAAGCTTTCATTTTTTTCTTCCTTTTTTTGTGGACGGAAATAGTCCACGGATCAACCAGTGCGAAGATGATCCCTATCCTTTTCGCCAAAGAGTGAGGAGGGACGCAAAAAAAAAAAAGAAAAAAAAATGACACATCCCCAATTAGGATAATACAAAAAAGGGAGAAACAGTCGCAGTACGGTTATTTGTCCCCCATTGGGGAAAAAATGCCACATGGGCAGTTTCCAGTTCCATTTTTCGAAGGGGCTAACGAATGAAGAGAGGATGCAGAGGTGGCGAGATGGACAAAATAGAAAAGGGCCAGAGCGAGAGGGTCACGCGACGTGATGACCTCCCCATCATGGCCATCGCTCCAAAAGCGATACATTTTTATGGCAAACTGATTAGCTCCTCCCCGTCGGCCTTTACCATGAGATGAAAGCGACTAGGCTATAACAAGAACAGCAGCGAAAAAGAACGGATTCATCGTGTCCGCAGTCAGGGAGTCTTCTCACTAAGCTGATCTTTCGACATCTATTTTTTTTAACCCCGCATATTCGACGTAATAGTGGCCAAGATGTTAAAAAAAAAAAAGAAAGGAAACATATATACATATGCATAGCCCCCCCAAGGGAACTCAAACAGATGTGCTCTGCACCGAGAAAGCACAACTGAGTAGTCGTAGGTAGGCTCCAAAACGTTCCATTAAGTACGTACCGTTTTGTAGCCTCCGACCGAATTTACTCTTCTTTCTCCCTCGGCAGCTGCGCATATACGAGAGGGCCCAATTTTAAGGCCACACAAAACAGCGGTGCTGTTTGGATAGGATGGAAAAATGTCATGGCCGGCGGAGGTACTCAAATTTGCACGTATGGACATAAAGACTGATAGGGTATAATAGGGGGAGAGGGTGAAAGAAAAAGAAAAAAAAACACTCTTCCAAGGGGTAGGTATAACGTTAACACGCAGCTGTGGAACCCCCGCCAAGGTGCACTTCCTCATGGAAAGAAGATCCCCATTTGAAAAACTCTCCTGGTGCATGCGCATGGAGACTCCCACGGATCGTCATTGAAGCAGGAGAGAGAGAGGGGAAAAAAAAGAAAAAAAAAAAAGAAAGAAGAAGAAACCTGTTCAACACAACGTCAAGCCTTTTTTATCCGCCATGTGCTATTGTACAAAAAGGGATCATACACTAAGCGCGAGTCGTCTCTCCGTAGCTTCTTAATTATGGATGGCCAAGCATATTTAACTTTTCTTTTTGTCCGTAGCTCGTACCTTTTTATATGCGTGCTCTGTAAATTCACGTTGTCATACGGGTTGTCCTCCCGAATGGACATATCGTCTCGGCTAGCTCCACCTGTGTGCATCGAACGAGTAAGTTCCGCCACTTCAGTGAGCTCTGCCACCTCAGTCAATTGCTCCACCTCAGTAAGTTGTTCCACGTGCGGCATGCTCAAATTTCGAAGGTCACTCCAGAACAGGTTGGAAGAATTGCTTTCGTAGTACTTTTGCACATTGAGTATTTTTTTTTTCTTCTTTTTTCTTTTCTGCTTCTTTGTCCCACTGAAGTCTTTTTGGCTGCTGCTATTCTTCTCGTTTTTCTTCTTCCGGTCGGGTGGCGCGTCCTTCGGGTTGCTTCCGTCTGCACTTGGCTGACAATGGTAATCCCTGCTACTCTCCTGGATGGGACCATCAACGTTACCGTCTTCACTTTTCACACTGGTGGTGCTGCCCATGGTGACTCCTTCGAGGTTGTTTCCCTCCCCCAAGGGGAAGACGCAGTTTTCATCATCCTTGCTGGACACACGATATAGTCCGCGGCTCTTTTCGCTTCCATTCGAGTTGTCAAACTTGTTGGCCTCGCGAAACAGGTGACTCCTCTCTCCAGGTGCGACTCTCTGGATCGTCTTTCTTTCGTCCCCCATAGGGTCCTCTTCGCGCGATGGTACATCATTGAACTTCTCTGCTTCACTGTTCGAACTTATAATCCATTTTTCCTTGCAGTGCTCTTTCTGTGTCTTCCTGTCACCACTTCCGCCAGCGCAATGAAGGAAGCTGCCGCGCACCCACTCGGGGCTCGCGTGGACGTCTATATAGTTCGCCGGTAGCTGGTTGTCCTGCACATTCCGAGAATTCACAACTTTGCACGCCTCGTCATATAGGCGGTTGTCGGAAAGACGCTCATCCCATCTGTAACGACAGCAACATGATCCACACCAACGCCGTCCACAGCAGCCGCATCCACACCAATCGCATCCACCGCAAGCACACCTCTCGAGCATCCACCCTTCGTATGCCCCACTGCTTCGCGCAACAAAATCGCAAACTGGCGTCTCCTCGTTCACTCGCACAAGGTCGGGAGGAACTTCCTCCGGGAAGACTGCGGAATGAACTCTATCAGATTGACTGGTACAAATGGCGCAGGGGGGAAAAATACCATACGAACGCGCATTCGACTGAACCAAATTTAAGAAACTGGAAGGCCCCCCCCGTTGAGGAGAACTCACTTGAGCTAACCTTTTTCCAAAGCAGCTGTTCTGTTTGCCATCCTGAGCGGGAGGCCCAAGGGGGTACATATTGATGCCCTTCCGCGTGGAGGCACAGTCGTGATAGGACATTTCAAAGGGGAAATTCATCTTGGTGCTGTTCTTAAAGGGGACGTCCATTTGGCTGTTGTCCTTAAAGTCACTCTCCATCTGGGTGCTTTCCTTAAAGGCACTCTCCATCTCCCCCCCGCAGCTTACACCGTTCCGTATCGTCTCCGTACTCCCGTCGATGGTGGCATACTTCTCTTCCAAAACGGACATGCTGTCTTGTATGTTCGTTTCATCATCATTGCAGTTCCTACAGGAACCTTTGTCGTCATTGGTGCAGGGGTGACTGTAGCGATCCCTTCGTGAGCATATCTTTCTCTGGTTCACATGTTTGCCATCCAAAGGGAGACCCCATCTCCCTTCATTACAAAGTAATTCACCTATCGTATGGAGAGTGTGACACCAATTTGTATGTGCCAAAGAGTGGGGACAACATCTGGGCTGCCCTTTCTCGCCACTTGCCACCATTTTGTTCATCTGTAACTGGTTTCTACCTCTCCTGTGAAAGTCATTCCCGCATGAGTCTGTCACAACGTTAAAAGAAACCTCCGACAGTGCTCTGTTATTTCGCCTGAACAGGTCATACAATTTGGAGTGGTTGCAATTGGGCATGTGGCGACGTCTAGGAATGGAAGTGGCGTTCATTCTTTTTCCAACCTTGTGATTGCAAATGCAGGTCGTCGTCATGTTACTACTCGATGGGACGTCTTCATAGTTGGAAGTGCCGAACGAGTGGCTATTCCGGCGTGTGCCCCAGGTCACTTCGCGCGGGTTAGCATAATCGCAACATCCTCCATGTGCTGCACTTTCTATGTCTCCAACGATTGGTCCATTTTTCCTGACTTTTTTTTTTCTTTTTTTTTTTTTCCTCTTCCCCAGGCCAGGGTTGTAAAAAAATGCCCTCCCCTGTGAGCAGCAAGAAGATGCCTCTTTCATTTGTTCACTGTAAATATTGGTGTTGGTATTCCGAGCGTTTCCACGTTTGGAGATCTCAACGTGGGGGTTTGCAATTAAATGGTTCCTTACACTGCGCTCGTTTTCGCATTCTGGTTCGCGCTCCGGTTCGGATTCCCGTTCCGGTTTGTCTTGCCCAAGGTGGCACCCCCTAGGTAACTCTCCCAACATGTGTGACAGGAGTTCGTTGCTCATGTTGGGAAGATGGAGACAAGTCTGCCACTTCTTAAGCCAATCCTGCGGTGCATCTGAAGAATGTTCTTTCTTCTGGTGCTCTATTTTAAACAGCCGCTCATTACCCCGTGACAGGGGAAACACTACCTCCTTTTTGGAACCGAGCGAGCTGTCGGATAGGTTTAAGTCTGCGAAATTATCAGAGGACGAGTCGGACGTTTTGTCTTTATCGGGGATTTTTTTCGGCTCACTCGGTTGGATTTTCCCCGCATGGTTACTTCCCTCCGTTGGAGAGATAGACAAACTGGGAGGGGTCCCCTCCGGTGGTTGCCCACGCAGCTGTTCCTCCTTCCCCACAGTTCTTCCGTCGAAGTTGCTTGTACGTGGATATCTGCTTCTTGACCCAGATGAACAGATACTATTTGATACATCTGGATCCTCCTCCGGAGAGGAGGATTCACAATTGGAAGGAATCATAACCGTCTTCTCTTTCTCCAGTGAGTCTTCTTCATTCTCTTCGATAAAACTACCGCTCGAGTCTCCACTATCACATGTGAAAATAACGCCACGGATTTGTTCACTCATGTGCCGTTTGGCCGCTTCTTCCTTTGTGTAAGGATCGACATTCTCCATTTCGTGCGTCGGGGAAATGTCCTCATTTGACCCTTCTCCAATCATGGGCGATTTATGAAGGCACTCATTAGAAAACGTGACGTTGCTGCTTGGATGATGTAGAAGTTCACCCTCCTCTTGAGTCTCTACCTTGGAATCATTCCCCCTTTCAAATGGGTACCTCCCACGCGAACTACACACAGTATCGTTTAATATATCTGTGTTAAGTAACCTTTCATTCTCTTTTTCCTCCTCGTCTAGTTTGTTGTCTTTCCTTGTCGAGAAGAATGGACTGCTTCCCTCATATCGATCACAACTATTTTTATAATTTTCTTTGTCCCCATCATTGTTTCTCCCTTTCGGTGGGGTAACCGATTCGTGTAATCGGATCTTTGGAGCTTTCAATTCTTGGACCACGTCTTCATAAAGGAAGATGATTTGCCTCGGACTCTTCACCACTTCTGCCTCTTCGCATAGAGAAGTCTCCATGCTCTTGGCTTGGTAGAGGCAGTTCACTCCATCAGCAAAGATTTGAGCTGATACCAATTTAAAGCACGTTGACGACAATACCCGCTGTGAATTCAACTCACAAAAGGTAATTAATCAAAAAATGGAAAAATCGAATTGATAAATAGACACGGTGAAGACAAACACAAGGTGGTGCGAACACGCAGAAGGAAGGATATGAACCCCAGAAATAGGAAAGCACCTACAGGGGCACCTGCAGAAAGTGGACAAGACGGAGCACTCGCGACCCGCTTGACCGGAACATTCCCCCTTCACAAAGAAGGAAGAAAAGAATAAAAACAGGAAATGAAAAAAGTCTTTCCCATAGATGTCTAAGCGATTTATGCGTGCTGTCTACCTCTTCAGAACAGATACGCGAGGTTACAAAAATGTCATTTTGGAAAAAAAAAAAAAAGGCCCCAACGATGACGTGGCTACCTTTTAGGTAGGCCACATTCGAAAGAATGAAAACGGGGAACACAAAAAAAGTGAAAAGAAGGGGGAACACAAAAAAGGTGAAAAAAAGGGGGAATCAGTAAAATGGGGAAATTATAGCAAAAAAGGACCAACACAACGAAGGAACAGAGAAACAAAAGAGTAACGCTATGAAACAGCACAGGGGAAAGACAGATTTCCAAACAAACGAGTAACAATCTGTGGGGAATCCAAGAAGATTCGCGCTAAAAGGTGTGCACGGGTACCCGCAAAAAAAGGCCTCATGTGGACGCGCACTGGAAAGAAACGCCCCATGTGCCGCGTCGGGGGGGTGCGTAAGCGAGTCCCCACATGTACGTACAGCCCGCGCGGGCAACGAATGTGCGCCGGAGTGGGGGGTTTCCAAAAGGATAGCATCATGACGGATTTTCCGCTCCTCCACTTCTCCGCCTCTCCAGTTCTCAGATTCCCCTTTGCCCAATTACACAGCCAAGTCGAAGTTTTTCACCCGACTGAAGAGTGGCGCACGGGGCACCTTCCTGTAGGCCACGATTTCATCGCCCACCTCGAAATCCTCCGACAGGGTGTTAAAAATGATGGAGTTGATGGCACAGTCCTTGCCAAGCTCGGTCGTATTATCCTTATTCTTCTGCATGGACAAAACGGACAGCCTTTTGTGGATAACCTGTTTGTTCCTCAGAACGGTGAAGTAGTGATTCACATTGCAGGAACCCTCCTTAATCGAAACGGACAAGACTCTTTTCTTCTTCGACTTATTTTTCTTCAGCGTATAGAACCCAGTCTTACTAACAACCATCCTTGAAACGGGTTCATACAGATGTAGCGAATCGAAGTAAAAGTTGCAGATCTTTTCTAGATCCTCAAATAATTTGTAAATAATATTGTGGGTCCTTAAAATGGCTCCGTTCTCTTCAATGCTAAGCTGTACCTTCTTCTCGATGTCCACATTGAAGGCAATTAAAAATATGGGCTTCACATCATTGCAGTGTTTCAAATCGTTCATGTTAAAAGAGCCCACTCCTTTCGACACAACTCGGAACGGTTCCCAAGTGTCGAAAATCTTTCCATCCTCTACCATGTCATCTGTTATGTTATTCATTTTCACGTAATTTCTGTCGACAAAGTTGTTAATGTCGCAATATTTTTCTTTCTTTCCTTTCCTACTGTATTGGGCAATTCCTTCGAGGATAGCTTCTATGCTACCCTCATCCCCCGCTTTGATGATCAGCTGGATTTGGGGGAGCTTCGGCAGACTCTTCACCCCGCCGGCAGCGCCAACACGGCCAACCTCGTCACGGCCAATCCTGCCGCTAATCTGGTCAACCTCCCCGTAGTAACTGCTCATCAGGCTGTACTGCGCCACCTTCGACTTGTATTTGGCGACTCTCTGGGCGCTCCTCAAGTTGCTCATTTCGAAAACGAGGTCTCCGTAGTTGATGGCGCTATCCTGTGCTAGCGAAATGGGGCTCACGATTTGTATCACCTCCGACGGGTACGCCTTCCTCACCAACTGATTATTACAATTGTAGATCTGCTTCACCTTTGTGTACATGTGCCCGATTAGAAGGTATGAGTTTATCTTTAACGTCCCCGATTTGCACACCAAGGTGAGAAGTTTCCCCCTAGACGGATGGATCTTTTTCTCCAACACGTATGCAGAGCATAGGCTTCCATAATCGCACATCAGATTTAAAGAATCGCTCAGCTGTAGAATACACTTCCGAAGCTTATCGATGTTTATATTCTCCTTTGCAGAAATGGGGACGATGGGGACGTGTCCATTTTCTTCCATCTCTGTAATAACATCATATGCTACTAACGATTTGGAGATTTTTTCCAAGTCCGACCCAAATTTATCAATCTTATTTGCCGCGATAATAAGTGGGATGTTAAACCTTTTGGCTAGCTGGATACATTCCACCGTTTCACTCATAATCCCATCATCCAGAGAAATGACTAATATAATCAAGTCGGTGCACTGAGCACATCTTTGTCGAATTTTCTTAAAAACGGAATGTCCTGGAGTATCTAGAAAAGTTATTTTCCTGTTCGTTTCTTTATCCACCACTTCGAATGCTCCTAACTTTTGTGTGATTCCACCGATTTCGTTTTGAGCCATATTAGAGTTTCGAAACCTATCCAGGAGAGTTGTCTTCCCATGATCTACATGTCCGAGGATAGTTACAACAGGGTTTCGCTTCTTCAAATTCACATGACTATACTTTAGTTTATCCAGCACAGCTAACTCTTCACAAATCAGCTCCGCTACTTCCTTCTCCAGCTTCGTGTACTTAGTGATGTGTTCATTGTCCAGAATGAATTTACTCACGTTTATAATTTTCTCCTCCTCTATGCCCACATGCTGGCTCAGTGCATGCACAGTGATGTTGTTGCTGTCTAGGTGTTCGTATTGCAGTATGGATTCTTTTCCTTTTGGTTGGTATTGCCCTTTGTTCTTCTCCGTGGAGTCTGTCCACTTAACTTGGCTGCGCCCTTTATCCAGTGCAGAGGCATCTCCACCTTCTAAGATGGTACGCAGAGAGGGAGGGATAACTCCATGTTGGTCATCCACATGAATCCCCCTCTCAACCGTCGCGACTCCTTCCGACGCAGAAAAGAAATTGCTCCCCATCATGGGCAAGTTCTTCTTCCTCTCCCTCAATTTCTGTAGAATCGACGAGATAGAATCTTCTTCCCCCTGGCTGCCTACCCCTCCATACAACGACGTGCTGTTCATTTTTTCAAAAATGTCCAAACTGTTTAGCTTCTTCAGTGTGCGAGTAGAGGAATTTCCCTCCTTCGTTTTATTCCTCCTGTTATTTCTATCTGTTTCTTCTCTTGGGGTTTCCCCCCGGCACTGCGATTTATCAGCCGAAAGGGTCGTCTTCCCCTTTGGAGTATCCCTTAACGGGATAGACAAATTGACATCTGCCTTTTTCGCCCCACTTTCAAAATGGCCCGCTAAGTAGGTGGTCTCTTCGGCTGCTTCGGCCAATATGTTACCACTGCCGTACTTGTCCGTGTCCCCCTGTTGGAGGTCCCACCGCAGATCGGGGTCGGCGCACATATCGCCATCATAAGCGGCCTCTTTGCCTAAGGGTGCTTCCCTCGTGCCACCTTTGGGTGGTCCTTTAAAAGAAGGATAACCCGTTTTAACTTCTCCATTAGGGTGTGCCTCCAAAAAGGAATCCCTGCACTTGACCTTCTCCAACGGGGTGACATTGCTGCAAAGATATTCTTCTGAGTCTGTCCCCAGTTTTGCTCCTTCCGCTTGGGTAAAGTCAATTGGATGTCTCTCCACCCGCTTCTCGCTACAATTGAGCTCGTTTGTCACACTTGGGGTGATAACCCCTACACTGGCATTATCCCCAGTTTGGCACACAATAGGGGTGTCCATATTTTCCCGTTTGACGCTCTTATTACTTTCCTCGAGCGAATTCAAAAACAGATTCATGTACTTTTCCTTCAAATGGGTGTCGTAATAACTCATATGGTCATTGAAAAAGGAAGTAGCTTTGCAAATTTCGTCTTTTTTTGTTTTTCTCAATTTACTAAAAATGGTGCTCTTTGGGGCTTCTCTTCTTTCTTCACTTTTTGGAGACGCGTTTTCTTTCATGGGGTCCTTCTGTGGGCAGGGGGACGTCCCACCAGCGCCACCAAAACGGACATCAAGATTGGCACCAAGAATGCCACTAAAAGTGTCACCAAAATTGGCACCCAAATTGACACCCATTTTGCCACCAAAGGGGAGACCCAAACGGCTCCGCGCTGATGCGTCTCCCCTGGGCAGAATTTCTTTCCAAAGAACCAAGTTACTCCTCGGCTTCAGTGGACTGAAGGGTAACGTATTCACGTCTATTTTGGGGGTTCTATGTGGAAGGCCCAGACAAGCCTCTGTTTTGTAATTTATTTCCTTCAGTTCTCTGTCGAATTGTTTGGAGGCCTCGATAATTTCTCTCAATTTTTCCGCTGCCTTTTTGTTTAGGTCCTCCTTCATGATTCTGCCGCTCTGCTTCTTCACCCCATTTTTTAGCACGTGCTCGTATATCCACAGGTTGGGGTCTTCGAACTTTTTCACCCTCGGCTTGGTCATTTTGGTGAGGCAGTCTTGGTGAGATGTCTGTGGCGCATCAGCTTCGTCGCTCTTCCGGAGAAGCTGGCCGAGTGATAGTATGAAGATATGGCTCCGCCGTTCGGTCAGTCCGAATTTCTCTCACGAGGGGAAAGGGCCCCCTCGGCGAGGTAAGGCTGGGTAAAAGCCCATAAAATATTTCCGCAGAATGCCCGCCGGGGGGCACTGTCACTAGAAAAAAAAAAAAAAAGAAAAAAAAAAAA